GCAATGATTACTAATGACCCTCTGATTGCTACTTTGCATTCACTCAACACACACTCACATTATCCAGGTCCCATAAAATAACAACCGTAAAGAGGTGGAAGAGGAAGCAGGTTACCTCTCAAATAACACCTGGCTGTAGTCATCCAGGACGTGGGCGTGCGTGTGGAGAAAGATGATGTTGTAGCCCACCAACGCCACCATCATGATCAACATTTTCAACTCATAATTCACACGCAGGAAAACCGAGCAGGATATCAATCCCAGAATGCAGCTGTATATGAAGTACTGGAACGGGAAGATGCATCAGATGAAGACTCAGGACCTCTCCTGACAAACGCTGAAGTGAGAATGAAAGCTGGGGGCCACCACCAAGCTCACTGGTCAATTTACAACCTTGCTGCGAAAGCAGTCACCATTTTCTGCTCAGTGACCCAGGGACCAGGGCCTGAACACATTTGATTTAGGATAGAATTCTCATTACATAGCTCATGCCTTGCTGACCCAGCTTAGCATGTTTAACAAAAATAATCATGCACATTGCCAAATAGAAATACATCTAAAAAAATCTATTGCAATAATTTGAAGGCACACCATTATAAGCCAATGTCATTTGCTTCTTGAAAATGAAAATATGGCTACCTACACATTTACAGATTTAAAAAAAAATTATAGTATTCAGAATCTTTTTCGGCCTTTAATTCATTAAGAGGCTATAAATCACTTTGGGTATTTCTGTTAAAAGCATAACAAGTGTAGGCATGTTGTTAAAAGAAAAATTGTGTGTCAGAGGGACTATCTAAAACAGGAAGGATTTTAAAAACTAAAAGCTTTGGCCAGGGTGAGTCACAAATACCCTGGAAGTGGACAGGCACCAGAAGAAACATGAAGGCGTGGGCGCCTGCCATCTTTTCAGTCCGTAGGGAGCAGCCACAGGCCAGCCCAGTGTTGACTTTCTCGCAATTTCCCATGATGGGCGCAGTAGAGTCAGGATAGCCCTGGACTCCATCCTGCTGTAGCCAGTCGCTACCTGAGTTACTTTAGGTCCGTGGCCCAGCTTGCCTGTGTTGCAGTGTCTTCATCTGTGAAATGAGGGTAATATTGTCCTCATTGTCTTCTCAGGTCACTGAGGAGAACAGTGATGCCTGGAGCACAGAGCCCTGCCAGCCCTGAGGGACTAAATGACATGACTGCCATTCTCTCAAAGCCTTGATGTGCTGCGTTAAGGTTTTTATGAACAAGGGGTTATGGTACTATCTTAGCATTCTTGGACCAGAAAAAGCACTGGAAAAAGTTTAATAATTGTAATAAAACATAGATCTGAGGGCTGTTTGAAAAACCCTGTCTTTAAAAAATAGCCCACTTTGTAAGCTACTCCATCTTAGTTTCATTACATGGAATAAGCCATGGGTAAATTGCTTATGGGTGCCATTCTAGCTCTTTTATTTCCCCACACTGAGGTCATCCACAATAAGCTATCTGGAAGGCTACTGATATTAGCTCAGCAGTCCAGTTCTTGGGGAAGAAAGGAAAGTCAAAAAGTGAGCTGCAGTGGCCAGACAATGTGATTCTTCCTCTATGCAGTTTGCTGTTATTAGTACAAACTGGGGCTCTTTGTAAGATTTCATTTTAAAAAGGATTCTGCTGCTAACATTATGCCAAAAACCATTATTAGAATTAGAGTTATCAACCAGTTCAGCCTCATCAAATGAAAAGCAGAATAAAGGAGCCACTTAAATGAATATGTGCATGTATAGTTTTTAAGGGGGCAATAGGGTTATAAAGGTTTTCTGTAAGAACCCTGATTAAAAAAACAATGTGCCAGCCAATACCTATACAATTATGCCTATGGTTTTACATTTTAAAATGCATTCTTAGGCTTTCAAAAAGCTTTCACATTTCAGGACTATCTATGAAAATACATATGTTAATGGAAAATAGGCTTTTAGTCCATTTTCTATTTTAAAAAACAACCAAAAATCCTTTCTAGAATGCTTGTCGGCCATGCACCAGAAATCCTGGGAGTTAATTAAAGGTAGGTTGCGATCCTGCAGGTGCCACAGAGGGATGTGCAAACGAGGGAGAATAACTGACGAAGGCCGGAAGCCCTGATGGGCAAGCTGTCACTACTGCAGGTCGCAGCCCACCAGGGAGAGTGGCCGGTGGTGGAGTTCAGGCTCCTGAAGTCACTTCTATGACGGAAGAAGTCCTAGCGACCTTATTTTTATAATGCAGTTCATCTAATGACTAGTTAATACTTGTACTCATTATTTACATTATAATTTAAATCAGTAATTATTAATATTATTTTAATTACTAAACAATATCTTTTATTATAATATTAGTTAATATTAAGTTAGCTAGGTGATTATTAGTTAATACAGTTATTGGCACTTTTGATGCAATCAATGCAATCAACTTGCATCTTAACACCGAGGGAATAGCCACGGGTATCCTGGGTGATTCGCTCAGGCCTCCTTTGGCCACCGTTCCCTCCCCTGGAAACTGGGGATTCCCATAGGACCTTCTCACAGGGCACTGTTGTGGGCGGGACGCTCTAAGCGCAGTTCGGGTACAGGGCGCCTACATGGCAAAGGTCTTTATGGTCGACTCTGTCGGGCATTTTAAAATGACTCTTTTTTTTCCTGCTTACAGAAATAATGCCTCTGATATTAAAAATTGGGAAATACACAAAGGACATATACAAAAATAAGGGTCTCCTACTATCCCCAATATCCAACACGAGGCTACTAATCACCTTGTGGAGATCTTTCCAGCCTTCTCCTTCTGCTATTTATTATTGGCATTATTATTTTAGAAAATTGGGATTATACTGTTTTGAGGTGTTTTTAAATGGTACTTTTTAATTAATAACTTATCAAAAATATATATTTTTATATTATTAAATAATTTTCTACAACATCTTTTGTAATGGCTGGCTATAACTAAACAATAGAATTTATCTATTGAAACACTTAACCGTATTCTGACTTTTCAGTTGTTTGCTTGTCTATTGTTGATGCTCTGCAAACACTTTAATGAACGCTCTGGTAGCTAAGTCTGTGCACCTTTAACGTTGATTTCCAAGTCAGTATTGCAGTGTACAAACTATGCCTGTGTGGATGCTTTTCGATGGCTGCTATAAATGGCCATTAAGAAGTTACGTCACTTCATTCACCCACAGCAGTGATGGCGCCAGTCCTGGTTCCCCCCGTCAGTCGCAGGTGTCACATAAGATGGGCTTTGAGAGGCATAAGGCGTACTCTGTACACATCCCCAAAACAGCTTTCCTCGTGTTCCTAAGCACCAATGAAAGGGGAAGCCAAGGTGTTTCCGGGCTCCTTTGGGACCCCTAAGCTTCTGAGTAAATAAAAGTGTTCCTATGGCCGGCCGAGTGGCTCAGTTGGTTAAGAGCTCGCTCAAGAGTGCAAGCTCTGAGCAACAGCGGTTTGATGCCTGGCCCGAGCTGAGCAGCCGCTGAGCTGCCAACAGGTGGCAGGATGGCTCAGCTAAAAAAAAATAAAAAAAGTGTTCCTTCCTGTATAGCCAGGACGTGAGCACGCCGAGCGTCTTGGCAAAGCCACCGTAGTTCTGTTTCTGAAGGCTTATTATTGGGACAATAGTGGCCTGGTGGCTAAGATTTTAAAGAGTCGACTGTGTATTTTTGCAGAACCTTTTCAAAGGCTGAGTAAGCATCACCTTTCCCCACCTTGGGTTTCTAGCGATTTGCTTCCTTTGAAAATCAGCTCTCATACAGACTTACCCAGATAAAATTCAGAATGACCTTCCTGCCTGTAGCGGTGCCAAGCGTGGTGACTATTCTACCCAAAAATACTGAACGGAGAGATTAAAAACAATGCTTTGCAGGCTCTGCTTTTCTTTCCTGTGAAAATGCATCTTTACTTTAAACCATTCAAGTGCCTTGTGAACGTCACATGGGGACAGTTTGGAGGGTCTCTCCCTCCACTGGCCTATGGACCACGTGCTACCAATGTCATCCATTCAAGGACGAAGACATAGACCACAGTGTTAGTGAAATCTTTCTCCCAAGAGTGTGGCTCCACGCTGCCCACAGTGAGGGAACAGCCGATAAATCCCTGTGGGTCTTGTCTCTCCCTTTCCACTTAGTTAACACGGAAAACACAGTGTCTAATCCTCCCCAGGGTTTAGTGCCCAAAATGAAGGCCAGAACCTCTAGGACCCAGGATGAAACTTCTGCCATCCTGTCTTCCTGAGTCCACAGGGACCTTCTTATGGACCCTGGTCAGGTGCCTCTGAAACAGTCATGGCCTCCAATAACCCAACACCCCTATTCTCTATACACACAACTGTGAGCTCCCCGGGAAACGGAAGTGGCAAGGTGAGAAAAAGTATCAAAGCCAAATACCAAGGAAACAAGTCAGCGAAAGAAAAATGGGGAAAGGATGTCTTTATCGCCCTTGCTAGTGGGGTTTGGAAGATTGGTAGGGCATTTTTAAAAATACATATTAAATGACCGATTTCAGTCCCCAATATAGTTCATTTAGCATTCTTCAAACTGACTATACAAGGCAGAAACGAAATGGGGATAATCTATGCTACTTCTACATGATTATTCATAAAATGCAAAGGAGACGATCAAAACACATTTTTTTTTTGCACAAACAATTCATGGAAGAAAAAAGTTATTAAGCAGTAAATAACTGATTTACCTCTTTTTACTGAAAAGACTGATGTGCTAGTAAGTTTTGAAATTTCAATCTAGGCCCGTTGAGACATTGGTTAAAATGAGACAGTGACGATTACTGAGGATATAGTCACTGGACAGTATTTGCACTCAAACGAGAGGCAGGAATCCGAAATGTGGCCCTGTCATCACAGTGTCAGGGAACTAACACTAATCCACTGGAACAATTAGCAAAATCTACGAGCAACGGACCCAGACATTCACGCATATAATTGAAATGTCAAACGGTGGGACACATGCTAGAAAATGTAGCAGTTAAGAGAACGGGGCAAGAGTTGTCTGTGAGAACATCAAGGTGACACCAAGTTGGCACACGTGACCTAACTGGTGCCAGTCAGCCAGACATCGCTTACCAAAGCCTGGCACGTTTTACCTGCTCAGGACCTACTCAGGTATTGACACCAAGGAAGAAAAGGGAAGTCTAGAACAGATGAGAAAGTGGAGGACATAACCTTACATGGACTAGTAGCAGACAGAAAAAAATGAAAAACAAAGTTTTCTTACCGGAAGGAAAAACAAGTTTTGCGCCCGCAGAATCGCTGCCTGGTTACTGGAGGCAGAAAGGCTCATGTTGGATGTGTTGGCAGTGGGAGGGATTGTTTCCTCTGCGTCGCTCAGGAAAAACTGCAAAGACAATGTTTAGTTTTCAATGAATTAGCGCAAAGGAGGCTGACGAGTTAGAAAGGGGTGCTAAGGCGATGAGTGACCTGCTCCTTCTGGCCGGTAAGCAGGATCGCGTGGGCAATCCAACAGCGCTAACAGCTAATCGCATCCTCTTAGAAGCTTTGAGAATTTCTCCTCAATAAGCAAATAACTACTGATTGTTGTGCCACACACTTACTAGTGAATTCCAGAACTGCAGGACTGGTGTTCAGGAACACAGCAGCACCTCCCTTAAATATTAAAACTGTAAAGCACAGGGCAGAGGCCTTCGTTAGAACTACGTGTGAGGCTGATGCCACCGCGCACACAGACACTCAACTCCTTTCCCTGAACTCAGAGCCTCCACAAGGTGTTTGCAGAGTCTTCTCCATCTTGGTTCCGACATTAAATGAGTCAGTGGATTTGTATGAGTTCTTGATTTTTAAGAAAAAATTCATTTTATCGGCACAGTGCAACAACCAGTATCAACATTTCTATTATTTGTGAGTGTTTGGCAGCTCAGGGTCATGAGGGTTTAAAATTGAGGATGGATGCTCTTAGCACTGTTGGAAAGGGGTCCTACTTAGAAAAAAAAAAAGATAATCTTGAGAAGATAGATGATCAGTTTTCATATAATGGTCACCCAACTGCAAAGTCAACGTGTTAGCAAGGTAGGAGGAGTCTGACTTCTCTCCCTGTGTCTGTCTCTCGTTGTCTTTCTGTCTCTCTCTCTCTCTCTGTCACTATCTCTGTCTGTCTCTGTTTCTCTCTTTTCTAGAGAAGCTGTACCACAGCCTGTTTAAGTGACGAAGGGTCAGTAGCTGTCTGTACTGTGGCTGAGGGTCAGAGGAGCATTCGGTAAAAACAAACCAGAGAAGCACTCAGGCCAGGCCCCTTGTACTGAAATCTCAGCCATAAACAAGGTTGTGCTTTCTGCATAGACTAGCCACACTCACTCAAGTTCACAAAGTCAAACTCGCCTGCACAGTTTCTACAGCCGTTTTCGTTTGCTTCCTTCTTTTGGTTTATTTCCTTCGATGGCAGAGTTCATGTCAAACATGCTAATTTACTTAGGCAGATAAGGAGGCATTTATTTACTATATTCTTGGGAATATTTCCTCTCAGATTCCAGGAATGATACCGGGTACAGTGATTCTATCCATTGTATCACGTGGTAAAACCAAAATGCTGATTTATAAAACAAAGAGATTGTAGATGTCTTTATTGACTACTAAAGAATTTATAAAAAATGTCACAACCCCTGGTTGAACTGTAAATGCGCTAATTCTTTGAAAAAGTTATATTAGGAAAAAACAGTTGGTTAGCAAAATTACATAGGTTTCGAGTGTACAATTCAATAATACATCATCAATATATTGCATTGTGTGTTCATCACCCAGAGTCAGTTTTTCCATCACCATATATTTGACCCCATTCACCCTCTTCTACCACCCCCTCCTCGTCCCCTCTGGTAATCACTGAGCTGTTGTCTGTGTCTTATGAGTTTTTGTTTCTTTGTTTGCAAAACCTTCCTGATTATATCACCTCACAGGGAAAATAAATTCTCGCTTCACAATGAGTAGACACATATCCTGTGAAAACTTTGTCTTGCAAGGAGACTCTGCAATAAATACGATGGTTTGAGTTTGAAAAACAGTAAAGAACTTCAGTCCGGAGACCTAACAATGCTTCCTTAACCATCTTTGGCTGCTTTTCCCAGCACGTGTTAACTACCCCTAAAATCAGGAAACTCTTCGTTCTGTGTGGCATCACACTGCAATTTTGAATCAGTTCCCCCATGCTGTCCTCTTAACCATTTTAAAATAACAAAATAAAGCCATAATTAAGGTTTGCCTTTCACACCCTCAGGTGTCTCCTCTCCCAGGAGGCCCCGGTCACCATCAGGGCACTGGAACCAAGGAGACCTTGCTCCTTTTGTGTGTTTGGTCTGGACTCTTGGAGTGGAAATGAGCTTGCTCCTACGAGGCCAGTTCTAATGCGTTCGCCTCCAGAAAGACCCGAGTGCCTTTTTGACAACGGCCAGGGTCTTCCCTATTTCCTGCTGCTCTTTCCCAAAGGGAAGTCATTCCAAACACTTACCTTTTCCACCGGGAATTAAAAGGAAAATGGAATTCTGGGTTCACCCTGTGGTTGCTTGGAACCTCCGATCTTCAAGGTGATCACTTTCAAGTGTAAAAGATCCAGGTGGAAACATTTGCACTATGCTGGTAATAATTCTACAGAGTACCTGAATCCTTAACACTGCTGTTTCAGTTTTAGTGGCGACATTGTCTTTTCATGGCTTTGATCTGGGTTCGTTCCTGTAATACAGACACTCCATTTTGTGAGGGGGGAATAATTGTGGTTTTGTCCAAATGTGTTTCTCAGTGTGGTGCTATTTTGGAAAAATGAAAGGAGGGAGTTTTGGGAGGCTGGAGGAAATTGTCCAAGAAGACCTAATCTCCCCTTTACTCTGTGAATGAATGAAACATCATTTCTGGAAAAAAATTAAATAACAAACTCACGTCGTCTCCTATGTAGCCAGGCAAATACTCGAGAGCTATTACTCCCTCATTCCTCATCCTTCTGGGTTAAACTGCCACAACTTTCTCCACAGACTGAATTTCTAGTAATCAGAATCATCTGGGGTTCTCTCCAGACCCATTGTAATATTCTACAACCTTTGTCCTAACTGGTGAAATGATACCTCATCCTGGATAAGATATGCTAATAAAGTACTAATGAACATGGCATATTTTTAGCTTTACTTGCCAATTTTACATTTCCCAGGCAATGTAAGACATCTCAGAGCCAGCTTTTTCAAACAATGTTAAATTATGAACACGCGACTTAATGTTGTGCTGTATGCCTGAAGACATCACCACGTGTAGAAGTCAGGACAGGCCCCCAGTTTACTAACTACAGCCAACTCCTGGCCTGGGGGCTCCCAGAGCAGCACCGGTGACAGGGCCCTCTGGGCAGTTTCTCAGAAGAGGTTGCAAAATGCCGTGGGAAATCACATGATGACACGGTCAAGGTGTCGGAGAAAAATGGCCGAGAATTCAAGCTTCTCATGCATGATTCTAAACAGTCGCCTGGACATTAAAATGCAACAAAACACACAGGTCATTGGCAATTTGACAGCCCAAATCCCACAGTTGGTAAAAGACTGGATAACTGTTTTCCTCCACTTTTGATTGGGGTGTGTGGTGTTGCAAGGGTGAACATGAGGTGTTTAAAATGTCCTGTTAGAACCTCACAATTCATTTTAATTAAAACTGCCCTGAATGTTTTGTCATTTTTATCAGCATATAATTAGATGTTCAAAAGAAAACTCTGAGCACACCATTCCTGCTGATCCGTCGGTGCTGTTAAAATGCAGGTGTCACCTTCTCCGAACATGAGTGAGGGGCCTGGGGGCCCACTTCCCTTGCATGGAACCCCACTGACCTCAGTTCTGACCAGCCAGCACCCGAATCCACCTCAGCACCATCTGGTGATGTGTGTGGCCCGGGGTGGTCACAGCACCATCTCACGGTGTGGCAGGGGACACAGGACCCGGCGTTGCCTCATGCACTCATAACTCAAGAGGACGGGGATCCGAGGAGCTGCCCGACATTCTCTGTAAATGCCCAGATGTGATCAAAGGCTGCACCCGATGAGCAAGCGCCTTCCCTTCTGTGACTAGTCAGAAATTTTGAGGAAGCTCCACAGTTATTCCCTAGTAGCGGGAAATCCTTTCCTTTCCGTACCTAATGTTGGCTTTCGTACTGTTTTATGTCACTTCTTTGAAATAAATGCAAGAGAAGCATCTGATAAAAAAAGAACCACTAATTTCAGGGCCCCAGGTGTCAAGGAAAACGCCATTTCTCCTGCATGGCAGGTGGGGCGGACATCTGCCTGAGCGGTTCTGAGTGCCAACCCTCTCCACCCCGGGACAGAGGAGAAGGAACCCCGCCTGCGCCTTCCTCACAGCCTCTCTGGCCCAGGGGGAGCGCAGCACATGGGGCAGAGCCTTATTTCTTCTTTCTCAAGGTCATCCATCAGTTTTATCACATCTCCCACATTCCTCACTTGGGGATGAACACCCGTTTTTGTGAGGAGGGAAAGTGACTCTGGAAGACGTTTTTCTGGTGCTGAAGATGCATTTCTTCTCCCCAAAGCAATCACCATTACCGTGAAAAAAAAATCGCCCAAATGTTTAACTCGTCAAACGTTTAGACAGTGACCTAACTGCCCGACTATCATTACTAATTATCCTATGTGAAATACAATTAGCTTCCAAATCACATTTGTGTCCCCTTTAGATTCTGTCTTTAAAAAATTAGGTGATAAATCCTGGTTTTATAAGGTCAAACTGGACTTTACAAAAATAAATGTTTTCTCTTTCAAAGGGTTGTGTATGTATGCATTCATTAAGTAACTATTAAATCACCACTCCTTACATGGAAGGCGTGTTCCTAGGACATGAGAAAAAATATAGAAGAAAAAAAAAAACATTCTCTCTTTTTTTTAGTACTTTTTTTTTTTTAATTGGGAAACAGTATGTTTTTCTAGGATCCCCTCAGCTCCAAGTCAAGTAGTTGTTTCAATCTAGTTCTGGAGGGCGCATCTCAGTGACCCATGTGGGGATTGAACTGGCAACCTTGGTGTTATGAGCACTGCCCTCTAACCAACTGAGCTAATCAGCCACCCCCAAACACCCCATTCTCTTAAGTGTATAGATGCCATGGGAAATGTCTTGTTCCCATAACTTACAGGTGCTGCTGACGGAGGAGGTCAGCTCTCAGGAAGTGTGTTGTATTGGCTCTGGGCCTGCACAGGTGAGTGAGCACACTTTGAGAGATGAGGAGCCTTGATTATAAGGGCCCTGTGGCCGTCACCCCTTGTTCGGCAACTGTACACGCTCTGTGTCTGTTGGAACCTCTCAGAACCCTAGCTAGGGCACCCTGTTACCGCTCCAGAGTGTTCTGTCCCAGTCCCTTCACAATGGAGCTCACTTCTGACCCAGATGTCTCCCTCCCTCCCGCAGCCCTTGCATTTTAAAGTCCCTCTAAAGCAGGAATTACTGTTGTCCAGACATGGCACTGTTCTCCAGCTGTTTCCCACTCAGTTATGATTGTTTGTTGGAAAGAAACAATGTCATGGTCCAGGTACGCCCGAGACCTAAAGACGAGGCCCCCACTCCTGGAAGGGTGTCTCATCATCCCTGCAATAGGAAGACAGGCCTCGGGTGCCATGTCTGGCCAGGAGGAGGGCAGCTTAGCTCAGCGTCACTCCCTGAGTTTACAGAGGAAGCCCAGGACAGTGGAGATCCCGCAGTGAACTTGACACATGAAGATAACTCCACAAAGGAATGAAAGGTCAAGGGCCAGGAGGTGCTGGGGAGGCTGCTGGCTGCATGGGCTTGACTGCTGAGCCCTCCCCCCTCAGGCACCATCAACTCTAACTTCGTTCGGGGCAGGCCTCCTCCCTGAGCTGATGTCTGAGACGACGCAGAGGGCGGAGAAAGGAGTGATGGTGGTCGCATCTGTCCCTGGCCTGTGCCTGAGGAGGCCCACATTAGGGCTGGGCCTCATGCCATTTTTTAGGGGTGCTGAGAGTTGGGGCATGTAGTCAGGTGGTGGGGCACACCAGCATGCCGTCCTCCAGCTGACCACATGGGGGGGCAGAGGACCCGACACCCCCACCTCCTGACAGGGTAGGAAGTGGGAGGCGGAGGGCAAGCTATGGCTTCTCTCTGACGCCCCCTTTCCAGGCGTCCTGAAGGTAGATGCCTGGGCAGGCGACGCAGAGAAAGAAGCCTCCAGCCGTGACGGCCGGCACCCCAGCCATCCAGCTTCCCGTTGGCATCGCCCTCACCTGAATCTCCAGGTGTGGCAGGAGGCACGGCACACTCCAGGGCATACTGTTCAGGATGCATCCCCAGGGAACGTTCAAGGTCCTTAGGCCTTCTTCAGCCTTGTCTGTCACTGCTTCTTTATACAAATGTCCGCCCTGTTTCTAGTCCTCGATGCCAAATGTCTTCCCACTTCTCATCTTTCATCCATCCTTTCCTGAACTCCTTCTCCTACCGTCCTTACAAGGCAGCCCAGCAGGCCCTGCGGTCCCTTCTCCATGCCGCCTCTCGGCCGCTCTTACTGTGGCCCCCAGACCCTTTACCCGGGGTTTACCAGCTGTCCATCTCCTAGACTCTGTGAATGCCTGGAAGGCAGAGGGCGATCTTTGGATTCTGGGCATCAAGCAATGTACCAGACACATTTTTATGCTCAGCAGATATTTTCTGGCTGAATAAATGCTGTCTCATCTATGAAAACTAAGTCTTATCAGTTAATATATATGCTCTATCTTCTCCACCTGATTTTATGCTTCAGGAAGACAAGAACTGCACCTCATTATATTCCAGGGTTCCAACAGCTCATAAAGCAGCCCTACGAAATATCGTGATGCCTTCTGGTTGATGATGATGATGCCAGAATAGTGACAAGGATACGTCTTCATGTGCACTGATGACCTATGTGCCTATTTTTAAGGCTACACCGGTCATGATGCTATCGGCACAGTAAGAGTGAGCACTGGTTTAATATTCACACAGTGCCCGGTGCCATGCTAAGTGAGGTAGGCGCATCAGCTCATTTAATCCACGTTGGCACAGAACTGTCGGTTCTCATTTTGAGAAGTGGAAATGGAGCCTGTGGAAGTTTATGAAATGAAAGCTCTCTGAACTCACACAGCTGGTGAGATGGGGCTGAGGTTTCAAATCAGATCTTTCGAGAGCAGGACAGCGCTCCCACTGCACTCCCCTTAATTTGGTAGCTCTGTTACCCCTAGGTGATGATCCCGCTGACATTCGATGTCATTTCTCTCACCAGGAGCCGCAAGGAGGATGATGGTGGGAAATGGCCGGGAGAAGCTGCCTCTCTCAGGTGCGTCTGCAGAAAGCATCCTTTTAATTAGTGAGGCTGCTTCTGCAGCGGCTGGGTGTTGAATTTAATAGGCAGTGATCGGTGTCACCAAAGGAGCTATGCGCAAGGTTCCACAATGCCACTAAGACAGGCATCGGGAGTGAAGAAGGCCTGCCTGCCAGGACCGCGGACTCACCATGTTGAACACGGCCATGGTTAAAATGATGGCCGTGGTGATCACCGTGAGGGAGACCCTTGGCCAGGGGCGGCTCGCGATGATGCCCGACGGCTTCAAAAGCCACAGGAGAGAGGCGGAAGCCTTCTTGCTGCATTGCTAGGAAGACAGAGAAAGAAAAAGACACGCAGTGTTATCTTATGTATCCTCCCAAGTTACTTAATGATATTTAAAACCCCAAGACGCACCAGTATCATTCACAGATTAATGAGTAGGCTCTGCCTTCCGCTGGGGGCCCATACCAGGTCACAGACCTTGTTAAATTATGCTGGCATCATTGTTACAAACTAAGAACTAATTAATTAAATGTCTATGATAAATGTAGGTTGCGCTTGCATGTCCTTTAAATGAGAACTGAAATTATGTTTAAAAAGATCTTCTGGTAAAGAAAAAATGTCAGTTAATTAAACCATTCTGTGGGATGTGTTAGGTCTCAGATCACAGCTATGATAAAGCAGTTATCATGAATTCAGCCGATTTATGTAGAAAAGAGATCAATATGCAGCTAATCATAAGACTACAACTGTCAAACACAACAGTTAGTCTAATGGTAAAACTGGTGTGACATCAATGAAACACGAATAGAGAGAACACTCCTTAGTAGCAGTAATACACAGCACTTTTATTTCTCTACCTCTCACGTTTTCTTTCTGCTTTATTCTTAAAATATTTATATACGTAAATATGTATATATGTAATATATGTGTATATATGTATATGTATGTATGTATATATGTGTGTGTATATCTGCTTTAATCTTAAAAATGTAAGCATTGAATATATTAAGTATCAATACAATTAAATCAGATTCTATAATACGGGATGAGAGGTGATTAGAAAGGTAAAGAACCGGCTCAGTAATCCAGGGTCAAAGCCCCAGAGCTGTAAGACTTTTTGTGAGTTAATTAACCTCTCTGATTCTCTGGTTTCCCCAAGAGCCTGAACTACAGCCAGTGCGGCCCTGGGCTCTGGGCTCCACTGTGGTCAGGAGCTGAGCTGCTGGCTGGTGGTGGGAGGTGCATGGGGGGGAGGGGTCTCATGGCATTTTCTCGACCAACAACATGGCAGGGGCCAGGTCTGTGCCTTTAATTTCTTCCCAAGAGCAGGGCTTGGATGGGGATTGGTAGAGGCATTAAATCCATCATCCAATAAGATGACTCTGATGCTCTGAACACGCAGTATCTTGGAGGGTCACACAGCTGGAGGACACCCCCCTAAGGGTGCTTGTCATTATAACAGAACGCATGCTACTTCTAATAATATGAACACCACAACCCTAATCAGATCTCTATTCTGGAGGAGGAGCTATGATAAAGTGTAAAGATCAGAGATTTAAATAGGATATCGTTGTCATCTAGCTCAGATTCCATTAGGAGATGATGGCTTCTGGTTTGACTCTGGTAAATTAAGATAATAAGTATTTGCATCCTAATCCACTAGGATTAGTGTTTTCATATAAGAGAAAATGATTGAAATTGATGTTTTGTGTTTGTACACCGAAATTATCAATCGATACAATAATAAAACAGTTAAGAGCAGATAATTCAAAAGTTTACTACTTTAGGAGAAATTTCAATCTTGCTCAGATTCCATATCACAATTAGGTAAAATATTACCTAGTTATTTCACAGGCTTATTGAAATTATAAAATAAAAAAAGTCACTTTGTTGAAAATGTTAGAACAACACATGGTGATGAGCTTGCCAAATAATCTATCTAATAGAAACCTTGTGTTCTTAGCAGGGTTAGTCATTTACTGAAACAGATGTGGGCAGACCCATGTGCATATTTTTCTGCTCCTGCACCATGCTGGGCAAAATTACAAACTGGTGGCCCTACAAACTACTGTCTATATGGCCTCCTGAACACGTGGAAGAAGGCCAGGAAACGTGTCATGTTCTGAGTCACCCCAGAAAGACAACCCCCAGAGCACATCTCTAAAGACACATGGGTTTGGCAAGCACGGGGTTCAGGATGCAATGGGGCCGATTCGTTCTCCTGGCGGTCTTCATGTTTTCCTCAAAGTCTCCCCATACAAACATCTTTAAACTTATCATGCCAAACAATCATCATTCCCAAGGTCAGAGAGGCAGGCAGCCTCCTTATCTTTTCATTTTTGTCACCAAGTTAAGGCATAGTAAATCAAATTGTGCTGACACATGAAGATTGGTAAACACTGCCATTGGCGAGGACAAAGAAATAGAAGACGATAAGAGATGCGTATCCTGAGCTACAGTGACAGAGAGGGAAGAAGGGCAGGGAGATCAAGACGTTAGGGGGACAGAGGAAACCAACGACGGGGAAGAGAGAGCAAGATCTTAAAACTGGAGGGGTCTGACGAAGGACAATGAGAACCTTGATTCAACTTGAAACTCTGAATAAAAATTACAATGTGGCTCTTGGCATGATAATTTACTTCCGTTTATTCTGTTTCAGGGTTAAGTATTCAAATAGAGTACCTGACGGAAAAATAAGTTTATCACAATGAATACCATCCCAGTGAAACATAAATGATAATATCTCAAAGAACATTTGGCATTTATTCAGATGATGCCATTCCTATGAAAATAAGAGAACGCCTGCTATGAGCTGAGGTTAGTCACTCTAGTTGATCTTAGGTTTAATTACTG